GAGAGAGAGAGAGAGAGAGAGAGAGAGAGAGAGAGAGAGAGAGAGCGCGCGCGCATGTGCTATTGCATGACATCTAAGTGAGCAAATTTTACTGCAAAGTTTGTATGCAAAGCTGTTTTCTTCCATTATGTTTGCAAGTTTATTGGCAACACACAGGTGGCAGTCAAAAAATTCCCCTGTAAAAATAAAATAAGATTAATGTAAAACATGCCTGCCTCAGTCTCTAAGCCATCTGCAAAACATAAAAACCAAAGTAAAACAAAAATGTTAAGAGCAGTTGCTCATTTGTTCAAACAATAAATGAGCACTGGAACAGCCATGCAAAAGCAGCCATAAGCCATTCCTGGAATGATCACAATGCTGAGCCCGGACAGCAATACCCTGTAATTCTGCAGAAGGTTTAGATTAGTTTACTTTTAATTTTTTGAAGGCTGAATGTCCTCCCACTCCTACACTGGAGTATTTATTAAAATTTAACAAGATACTTATCATAAGGGCAAGAAGGTGCAAAGAGCACCTCTGCTCTTCATCCAGAGCTAGACTGCCCAACCACCAACATGAGAGCAGTTTAACAGCAAACTGCTGCTTGCATGTGCTGGAGTTTTTCCTCACCAGACTAGTCCAATGAAACCTGCTACAACAGAACACTGTTGTTTGTGGAGTGCTCTTGTTCAGGTTCCAGCCAGTCACAGCTTCTGTCAAGATACTCCTTTCCTTCCCTTTCCCAGTTGTCTATTTCCCACCAAAGAAACTCAGCATTGCATGGCCTCTGAGCTTGCTTGCTCCTTATTTAGCTGTTTGGATGGGTTCTCCTCTCAATGCCTTTTTCATAACATATTTTCTATTTTTGCAAATATTGCAGTATGACCAACCGTGCTGATATCCTCCTCCTGTTTCTCAGTAGCACTATTTTGGCTATATAAAATAGCTCCTGCATCTGAAATTAATAAATTCAAAGTGGCTCATACCCTTGCACCCCTGTTGCCACTGCCCATGACAGAAATGCTAACCATCCATGTGTTTGGATGATGTGGAAAAGGCTTTTCCAATGTGTCCTTGTATGCGCATAGAGTTCTATATGCAAGGAGGGCCTCTGGCCCAGTCAGGATTTCTCCTTGCATGGAAGAGGTCTGTGCACATCAGTGCAGGTCAAAAGCCCTTCCCCAACCCTTCTAAATATACAGGTGCCTAGAAAGCCTTTCCCCTGGATCCATCAGCAGCATGGCTATGATGCATGGCAACAAGAGTCAGTTGGCCTATGTAACCCCGTCATGCCCACGTGCATTCTTTCACAGTGTGTATGTTGTCACGTGTGCACATAGGTGTCATTAGAACCAGCCTGTCACTGGCAGCTTAAGTGGCTCTTTAAAATTATTGGGATTTTTTAAAAATGCATACTTTGGGGCCAGTTGCTGAGAGGAGTTGTGTATACCATCCTTGTCCAGCCTAGTCTCCTCCAGTTTTTGTAGAAGCCAACTCTTATCAACGCCCAGGATAGTCAGTTACTTTGGCACTTCTAGTCCAAAATATTAAGAGAGCTTCAGAATGGGAAAGAACCAGGAATATAAAATGTAGCTTGTGCTTTTGTACCCTGATTGATCGTAGCTTCTTTTATTGTTACACTTTGAAATGCACAGATCAGTATCATGAATCAGCTCAGAATCACGACATTCCTTGATTGGCGAATGCTAACAAAAAGAGGTTAATGATGTAAAAAGAGAAGTTAGTACAGAGTTAGATATAATAAGGAGAAGTAATGAAGAAAAAGGTGATCAGAGCCACTAATAGAAAAGCTAAATGAAGATCTGGCCTGCTCAAATACCATCATTGTCCTCAGTTAAAAAATAAGAAAATACATAATTTTTACTAGCAATGCTAGTGTTGGAACCAGTAAACTGTGGCAGAAGGATATTGCATAGATTTAGGAGGCAATCATATGCTCACTTATAGGAGAAAGTAATACTGAATTAAAATGGAGCATACAGCTGAGTAAACACACTGGCCTGCAGTGTTACTGTACTAGGCTCTCTAGAAACAGGCTTTGTTATGTTGATTATGTGGATCCTGCAGCTCTTATAAGCAAATTTCTTAAAACTGCTAAAATGACTGAATGGTTCTGGAAGAAAGTAGTTGCACTAGTGCTCTGTAGATCAAGGTACACTTAAAAATATGCCCCTCAACCACTGAAATCAAGCCCAGGCTAAGAGTACATTAGTCTTTGCAATTGTCACAAGTCTCTTTTTGTTGCAAAAAGATATACAAAGAAGAAAAAAAGCACAACATTTTCCTTGCCAAAAAACCTCCAATAACAAACTCAATTAAAAACAATACAGGAACATTATACAGGATCCTGTACTAATCCTGCATAAAAAGCAAGCTGGGGAGCAAATATAAAAGTCAACACATTCTCTCTACAGGAGGAAACCAGTTTAGTATATATTCTATGAACCTAAAGCATTGCCATGCTAGAAAAAGCATGTAAACTCTGCTGTGGTATGTCAAGTAATCATTGCTCAATTTGCAGATTTGCATAGATCAGTCTGATTGCCAGCAAAAGGGTTAGAAGTTTAGCCAGGAGTATAACAGCATGGATTCAGCTTATTCCAGCCTTCCCCAACCTGGTGCCCTCTGCATGCTTTAGACTTAAGTTCCCAACAGACCTAGCCTGGGTAGCAGTCAGGAATTCTGAGAGTTGTCTAAAACATATGGAGAGTATCAGGCCAGACATGCTTGGAAAGGTAGAAATGCAAGAACATGCAAGATTCTGACGAAATGACTTCCAAAAATAAGAAAAACATATACCTTTCAAGGCCCAAATTAGGTGTGTTGTTTCTTATTTCTGCTGCGCATATTGCATAAAAACGCACACCTTGGGGTTTCTTGTTTGAAAGTATAAGAACTGAACAGAAAAAGAAAAGTGGCAGTTGAGACTATGAAGCAAAACATAGTCACATAAGGGAAAGAAAAAGTAAACACTGCTGTGCAGTGAGAACTCAGTAGCGCGTAACGCTTGCAAGGGGTGGCCTATTCTTATCTATACAGAATGCCTGACAGGTACAAGAGTCTAATCCTACTTTTAATTGCATGTGCTGTACAGTATGTTGGAAGTGGAGTTTTAAGAGTGCCACTAAAAGTTGTTGGCGTACCAAACATTTTGCACATTCTACAAACATTCAAGAAAAATGAAGAAAAGATGAGGTACTATAAGATGGAACAGATAATGGGATGAATAAGAAAACTATCTGAACATAAACTGTTACTATCACTGACTTACCCTTTTCCCACTTGCAGTATAGCTACAGCAACAACACAAAGGACAGCCATAATCAGAAGTGCTGCTGAAAAGGGTGTGGAAAAGATTCGATGTTGAAAACTATACATTAAGCATTATCACAGAACAGATGCTATCTCATTAGGAATCATTTTAGGAATCAAATCCATTATGAGGCGAGTTCATTTTAACATGCTATAATTAACCACAGTTTAGGGTTCTGATATAATGCCAAACTACTGTTCGTTTAAATTGGAGGCAAAAGCTTGCACATTCCACTTCTTAGCAGAACTGGAGCAAGAAAGGGGAGGTGGTGCACATGAGCATATTGAGGCTCATCCACATGACACTAAGCCATGCTTCAGCAAGTGAGCAAGCTGGAAACACTGACTGTGTTTATCCCTTTGCATAGGGAAAGTCAGAGCTGCAGATCTGATCTCAGAACCACATGTCAGGGTCAGAGCTGAGACTTCAAAAAACCCTCATCGGCTTTCACAGCCAACACAGTTTTTTCTGCGCCAGTTGTAGCTCTAAGGTTGAAAGGCTGAGCTCAGAACATGAGGCTTGTGGCACCCTCAGTGCGTTCTGATGTGCTGGGGCAAAATGCTTAGATGGACAAAATTGAGTAAAACTTTAGGAAGGCAAAATTTTTGCTTCCGTCTGCTGCCTTTGGTAGGATGTCTAAACTCCTCCAAGACAGGAGAGTTGGGCCGTATTGAATGGTGAAACACCATTCAACACCATATTGAATGGTGTTGCCTGGTACCTCTCTCTCCCACCCCTGCCTCCAAAAAGGGACATTTATAAAATAAAATTATATTAAATTTATTGTTTCAAATTATACTAAATTTGAAACAATAGCAAAGAGACTTCATCTGCTTTTAATCTCCCAGAGGAATGGAAGAATGATATCTATGGGCACTTGCCATGTTCCCTGGGATAATTTGGAGTGATGGGAACAGCAGTACAACACAACCAGAAGGCATCAGTTTGGGTAAGCCTGGTGAAGAAATTCACCGGAGGGAAGCTCAAATGTTGAGTACAGTACTATGAACCAAATGGAGCATCCATAGCCTTGGGTTCTACAAATTAAGGGATCACACATACACCTCCCCATATGGGGAAGAATCTAAATGACTGGAGTAAGTGGCCATCACATTGATCATGATTATGTAAACTCGTTCATGCAGCATTACTCTGCTCAGTAGGTCTCCCTTCTACCCCTCCCAGAAGCAAAAACTTAATAATTATTATTTAGGAAATATCTTAATGGGGTACAGGGGAGGTTGTTTATTTATTTCTGGATAACTTACAGATACCAATCAGCAGTCCAAGGTATAGTAGCCCTTAAAGCAAAAATACAAAATGTTTTTAAGGAGCTATAACACATACACTTTTATAATGCACATAGACATGTTACTTAAGGCGAATCCATTTATTGGACCAAATCTCCTGCAAGTTAATCCTGGCATAGTAAAGAGAAACACAGTCAGCTTCTTTTGCACAAAGAACTAATCTCCAATTAATTCTTGTCACTAGACAAAAAAGAAAGGGTGATAATGAAGTACATCAAATCTAAAGCTATAGTGGAGTGAGGGACTGAAGGCTTCAATACTGGAAGGCAACCTAAGAAGGTTGGAAGAGGGGTTAATGCAACCCAAGTGAACTCTCATCTTAAAGTAAAACATTCAAATCTGTCCATTTCGAAAACAAGAAATTTGACCCCATTTCAATCTTGTAATTGCATCCCACTTTCACTAGCTCTGGAGCTTCAACAGGTAAACCAAATAATGGTTTTGGAAGAACAATTTATTGATGTAGGTGCCTATTTTGGCTTTTGTTGCATTTTTCCTATGAAAACAGGAATCATATGTATCAGAGCCTGAAAAACATAACATCAGATTCAGCTAGAATAGGTTGGAATTTGAACTAGCATAGATATATATGGAGTCTCAGCAATTTACTTGACTTTAGCTTCTGAATAAATGGATCATGCTAAGCCTATATTCATGAGTAGTTTCCTCAATGGAAAATAAATATATATAAAGCAAGTTGTTTGTCAACATACTGTATATCTGGGGATGTTTCCAAATGAGGCATTCAATCATTCTTTCACATACACTGAAATTTACAGAAGATCCAGAAGTTTTCATCTTTCATTTATGAGCCCTTTTTTTTATTAAAAACCTTCACTTCTTCCATTTGTTTTTTCTCTCCACGAAATGTCAGTGATTTTGCTTGTATAACTCATCCGTCCACTGTGGTTTCAAAACCATGCTGACTTAGCATGTGGTCTGAATCTGTTGCTCCACAGGGGAGCCTTTTTTTAGCTGGAAGGCCACTCAATAAGTCTGAGCTTGCTGTAGTTTCATAACCACCCCTGGCCTTGCCAAATCATCCAAACCCAGACTACATAATCCCCAAAGCCTACAAAGCTGCTTAGCATGACTAGCATAAAGTCTTGCTACTCTCGCCAAATGGCCAATGACATCTGCCCAAAGTGCCCAAATGGCAGTTTGGGAAGCTTTCATTGGCTTTCCTGCTCCTGTGTGCTGATGCTGGAGTCTTCAAGCACCTTGCAGGACTTAAGGTGATGGTATGTAGTGGTGAAAGTGTCCAACACCTGCTGCTTTCCCAAGCCCCACATGGGATTTATTATTTATTTATTTAAAACTTTTATATCCCGTCACCACATGCCTTGGCATCTCGGGACAGCTTACAAATGTAATTTAAGGAGGCAAGCACTGTTGTCTGCATACATCACATTCCCAAGCCCTGCTTGGGAGTTGAGAACATGGCATCCATTCTTCTGGGTCTTGGGTGGTAGCAGAGGAGGCCCAGGAGAATTGTTCAATGTGTCTCCAATTGAGCAGTCACCATAGTGAGTGATAGTGACAAGGAGAGACAGGGAAGCAAGCCGTGTTCTCCTGGGTCTTCATGGGATGATGCAGAGCAGAATGTGACTCCACCACTAACTCTTGTTGATTCAGGCAAAGGGGGGTTGCCAAGCAGCCATTCTCTGCTGCAATTAGCAGTGGGAGGCCTCTGATAGTCATTTGTGCAATTTTGGGCAGCTGTCATCTCCACTCTGCTCCCTTCAGTGCTCCCCTGGATACTGGTGGGAGGGCTGAGGCAGCAGGAGGTGCCTCAGAAAATGCACTGTGTGCTCATTGTTTGTTTTCAAGTCTTGCAAAGTCACCTATTATGTCTTTTGATTGCTAGCATTAAGAGTCCTCTTTCTGGAAGCATCCTGAATCTCCTTTTAGTTAAGGTTCCCCATCAAACCCTGTTTAAATATCAACTTCCAAGAATCCCTCATTTTATTTGGCCTACACGGATGTTTTTGCAAGGCTAATTAGGGTAGCAGTATAGACATCTTCTATATGAAAAAGGAAGATGCATGAGCAGGAAGAATAGCTTGGAGCTAGTTAATGACAGCAGTTAAAAAATTAATCCAGAGAATTCTGACTGTTATTTAAGGAAAAAGGTGATGCTCTTATCTTTTTATCACCTTCCCTCAAACTTCAAAAGCTCCAAGATTAGATTCAAGGAAGTGCAACAACAAACAAGCAAATGGCCTTCTTGTATTAGGTCTGTTACTTAACGGTTGTGTTTGGATCCACAGTTGCTGATATTTCAGTGCCAATGAAACAAATAAAACAAAAACAAAACTCAATACATATTATTCTGTCTACCACTGAAACACACTACACTGACAGGCAGCCAGCAGTTGGGCAAGCAAATAAGACGAAAAGACAAAAATATGCAGATCTGGAAACTTAGAAGCATTGGACAGGGAGACTCCCTAACACCAGAACCCTGGGTACTTGCGCTGGCTCAGTCCTCTTGCCCCCATTCATTGCCCTCTAAGAATTACAGAATAAATACCTACAATGGGGAGCCTGCTGTACTCATGAAACTCCCCACAGCGTTTAGGACCCTGATTTCCAGAGTTCTCAATACCATGGAAGCCTACACCACTAGAACTGATTACCTGTTGCAGATGATCACTGTCCACATTCTGGAGGCAAGCAGGGAAGTAGAAATGGAGTAAGCTTGCTTGTTCATAGTTTGCTCCATTAGGATTAGGAATACCTGAACAGAACTTAAATAAATTTGTGGACTTCATCTATGTTTGATGTCCCATCTTCAATATTGACAGCAGATTTGAGGTTGCATGCAGTGCTTGGCTCTACATGCAGGTTTTAGAGCAGGGGTCTCACACTCGCGGCCCGCGGGCCAATTGCCGGGACGGGCGGGGCACGGGGAGGGGCCCTGCGGCCTTCAAAGCGCCGGCGGCGCCCGGGCCGGCCTCCGGATGAGCGGCCCACCACCACTGCGGTGGTGGACTACTTGATGCGGCCCAGCCTCACCCAGACTCTACTTCCAGCAGCCCCCAGGGTAAGTTGAGTTTGAGACCCCTGTTTTAGAGGGACCTTGAACAGCACACTGACATGGGTTCTTCACCTTCAGTTAATCCACCTTGTCACCAACACTGTTGCCTGCTGCTGCTTCTCCTTTTCCTCATCTTTGCTACAAGCGGCTTTCTTGTCAGGAAGAGCACCAAAGAGAACCTAGGCCATGACAAATACTGTTACTGATCTACTGGTGAAGAGAAGGAGCAGATCCCGGAGTTCTCATCAGTGGGACCCTGCTGACATGTGGGCCCTCTGCAGTTGCCCAACCATGCTGACCCCCTGGTGTAGTCCCTTGATGTTTGGAAGGGTATTGCCACTTTCATATCTTAACATCTTAGCACCAAAAAGGCAAAAGCATGAATAAGCACACTAATCTTGTCCTGCCTATCTCTAGATCAAAACTATCATTTGACTTATCTTTTTACCGTTACAGTCTATTTGAAGTAAGAAATATCTGTATCATAGACACTTACAGTAAGATGATCCATTTATTTATAAAATGTGCGTGCTTCATTGCTATCCCTACAGAGGACAAGAGCAAAATTTTTCCTCAACTCACCTGAGGAATTACGATCTTTCTTCAGTAGTCCTATAGCAAGAGGTATGGATGAGTTAAGTATCGTAGTGGTTAGCATAGTAGTGGCTACATTACAAATCAAATGATGAAGTCATTTTGAAATTGGATATTGTTTGTAGCATAAACTGATCCTTCCTGAACAATACTGGAAATGAACATAATCACATTTAAATTTGTAAACTCACAGCTTGCTAAGGATGCATTTTGTCCAAAAAGGGCATTGTCGATTTCAAAATATAGCCTTGATTATATTTAAATATTGCAGCCTCTTAATTAAATGCAGCTCTGAGACTCAACATGTAAAATTTCAATGACATACAATTTTCCACAGCAAATTGTTTCCCAATATTTTAGAAAAACTGATATACTATAGATTTAAAACCCATCAGGAACAATAAGAACTTAAGGTAACACATGGAGATGCAATGAATAAAGAGTGCTTGGAGCTTGACTAATACAATTCTGAGAAATTTTCAAGTGTCTCGTTGCAAGGTTGATAAATTCTTTCAAAAGCTAGGTCTAAAGGCTAAGAAACCATGATAGTAGACACACACTTTGAAGTGGGTTAGGGAGCCTTCCCCAACCTGGTGGCCTTTTAGAGGCATTTGAACTGCAACTCCCAGAATTCTCACCCAGCAGGCCATTGACTAGGAATGCTGGGTACTGTGGTCAAAATGTGTCTGGAAGGCATAAGGTTGAGGATGACTAGATTAGGGGAAGCAATCTGGAGGATCATCCCTCCTTCCAAAGCCATGCTAGCTGGAGCAAGGGTTTAGGTGAGAGGGGAGGGGTCTTTACTACACCTTTTAGGTCAGTGGATGGTTGTTAGAACACCCACTCCCCCCCACCACACCCCACACACACACACCTTGAAACCAGTGGCAGGAAAATAAGCTAGTCCTGCTCCATGCTGAAATAGCTGAAAGCCCAGATCCAGGGGTTTCTCTGATCCAAAGCCATCTTCACCCCTGAACTGTCCTGGTTTGGCACCTACTGCTGGCAGTCTGTGGAGCTTTCGGAAGGCACAATGAGGGCAGAGAGGCCCTGCAGCACCTGGAGGGATAGGACTGCTCTCTAACGCGGGGTGGCCAACACACAAACCACTCAGCCTTCTGCTGTGCCATCACCATCACCCCTGTTCCGCTGAATTAAGCAAATTAAACAAATAGCACCCAATGTGCTACAGAATGCCTTTAGTAACATTAAAATTCATTTGTTTGCAGGCTCCTGTTTACCTTTTCAGCCACCTGCAACTGTTACAGAGCCCCCAGAGGGTTACATTTAGCTTGTAACAATCTAATTTTAACCATTTTGGTGCTCTGTAGCACCACAGACACAACTTTTTAGTGCTCACACATTGGAGCCCAGAGGGCAAAAATTTTCCACCACATCACTCAATCTCTTATCTCAAACAGCACCATATTTTTTTCATAGTTAATCTCTGAATCTAATGCAATTTATTTATTTATTTATTTATTTAAAACATTTCTATGCCGCCCCATTCGCCGAAGCCTCGGGGCGGCTCACAACATAAAATTAAAATATAATACATTCAAAATATAAAACAAATTAACAATATAAAATAAGTCGCCCTGGCCAGATAAAACAAGCAAATAATATTAACAATTAAAATGATGTTTCAATAAAAAGGTCTTCGCCTTTACTTCTTTGTTGCCTACCTTTTTCCAACTATGGGAAAATATCCCTGGGATTCACCGTAAATTTCACTTTGACTAAAAAGTGTCTTAAATATAAATCTTAATAATTACATTATTATTAATACCTGCCATTTCCTAATCTTTTTATAAGCAGCAACTGTTAGAAGATAGTTATTAAATCTTTACAGAGTTTCTTGCTTAAGAGAGAGATTGTTTTTACCTTTACATTCAGGCTTAGAACCTTCCCAGACTCCACTTATTTTATCTTCTGTTGCACAACGTATAGAAGCATCCCCCATAAGTGAAAAGCCATGATCACACTTATAAGTTACTGTTGAGTTGTAAGCAAAGATTCTTATACTTTCACCATCATGTGATGAATGAGAAATATTAGGAGGAGGTGAGCAGGTGATCTCTGCAAAACAGAAAGCGAGTTTATCAGTATTAAAGTATGTTTCAGTTTTAAACTTTTGCTTGTTTTAGCATATTTCTTAAGTTGGATATGTTACAGTGAAATGAAGAATTGTCATAACTTTTTAATGCTCAACATTAGGCCTTTTCCAGCATAGATAACTGAAGTAAGTTTTAATCCTGTGCCACATCAATTTTTAGTTAATCATAAGCCACTTCTCCAACTATGAGATGGATCAGTTCCAGAAAGGAAACCACAGCTTTGCTGTGAGTAGGGCTGTCCAGCACAGGAAATTTTGGAGGGCATTCAATCATAGAGCTGCCCTAAGTCAGAGACAACTTGATCGCACATAACAGGAAACTGGCCCTGATGGATGAAGAATCACAATAGTATTGGTATATTAAAAAAGCATTTTCTGAATGTCACCCTGAAGTACAGTTTAATGTATCACTAATCAGTATCAAAAGGAAATTCTAGACTAAATCAGTTGCCCTTCAACAAAACCTCAGTGCATAATTTAGGTGTGGCCACTCACTAAATACCTCAGACTCATTCCCCATCTCCTTTACCCAATCACCTGAATATTTTTTTCTTAAGGGACAGGTGTTTTTAGACGTTACGAAATAGGCTGAATCTAGATGTTTATTTGCTTCTTCATGTGCAATTTGAACAGGTCCTGGGGATAACATGACAATATATCACAACCAGATTTAAAGTTGGCTGTGATAGAATAAGAAATAGACAAGTCAACTGGGAAGAAAAAACTTTCCGTACAGTCCTATACATGTACACTCAGAGATAAACTCACTTTATTTCAATGGTACTTGCTCCCTGGCTAGCAGCTTTACTCTTACGTTAAAGAGTATCATACTTTAAGCATGAAACCAAAATTGCTCTAAGTGAAAGATGGTCAAGCCATCACCAGCAAATGCTAATAGCTAATATTAATATCCTTTTCTAACTCCCTGTCTAACCAAATGGCACCGAATTCACAACCTCACCTTATTATTCAGAAAATCCTAAAATCAAAGAAAGCTAATATTTATTACTGATAAAGTTCTCAGCAGCTGGGTACTAAGCAGTACTTACAGGATAAATGTAAGGTGGAAGAGAGGCAGACATCAAAATGCAGTGAATTCCCACTAAAAGCGTCAGCAAGAGAGTAAAGAAAGTAAGTTGAGGTTTAACTATAAGGAAATAGTGGCCAATTAGAGACAAAAAAGACAGAAGAGAAGGTAGCCAAGAGCAGAGCAATTTAAAATCTGAAGAAAAGAACTTCCAACAGTAATCTTTTCCTCAACATCTGATGATTTTTTTCTCTTCCTACAATCCTGTGTGAGTATTAGTTCAATGCCACTCCACCTGGTGCCACTGGTGTGGGAACAGCTTAGTATGAGTTTGGAGAAGGCCAGACTACATTTGCTCAAGTCAGCTTTAGTGCAGGTTTTGAGGGTTCAAGCTGGCATGATGAGAGGTTACAATCTCAGATTCTCCTGCATAGTCTGAGCATTCTCACATCGTTCAAGTCCATTGCTGTTGTGGTGATTGCTAGATCTGTACAAAAGTACTGGGAGAGACTCACGTTGACATTTGGGAGGCTTTGGTTGCCATTCGACTTCAGTTTCATTCAGGGCGCACTGGATAGACGGGTATCCCATCAATCTGTACCTAAAGGAAAACAACAACGCACCATCTTATCTTATTCTTCTGTAGTTCCTTTAAGAATTCACAACTAAAAATGAACTACTTAAGCAATATTTCTGGAAGATTTTTAATCTTTTCTGGAAGATTAAAATGTTGTTATGCAAGAGTTTGCATGTAGACTCTTTGAAGCATTTTCCCCTACATTGCTAACTCACTCACTCTAACTCCCCTTACCAACTCTTTACCTGTAGCCATGTGAGATAGGTTTGCTACAACTTAAGTAAACACGAAATATTGACAGTTAAACATGGCACTCATCTCCTCAAAAATATTCAGAAACATGGCTGGTGACAGAGCTTAGAAGGTTTATAGCAGATCCATGTGGTAAATGCATGCAAGATTACTGCCTTACCTGCTAGGATCAGACTAACTGAGCTCTTATTTGATGCCCAAGGCTTGGTCAGAGGCAGAAATCCTACTGCTGGTGCATTTGGGATAGAACATTTTCCTAGCACATTCAGTCTGCTCCACTCTGCCCCCACCAGCCATAACTTTGGACAGTCACACAGTTCTATTGGGTAAAGTTCCCTGATCCACACAGCTCTGCCAGCAATGCCTGCCTCTGGCTTCTCCAGACTTCCTGGAGGCATTATTAAAAATAACAACTTTCTTTAAAAGGGGGATAATTAAGCATTATACTCCCCAGAAGGTGATATATCCAATATTTGTTGGGGAGAGGGATATTTGCTTGCCATCTATCCATCAGTTTCTTTGTCAAAGGTTTTATGAGGAAGTTCAGAGATCCAGATTAGAAGTATAACCAGCTGTATTTTCTGCATGCTTGCTCACATCAGCTGAGAATAATTTAGTTTTACAAAATAAATGAGAACATATGCCAATTTCCACTATAACACTTTCCTCCACACAAGAATAACTGCTGGAAAATGAATCATGTGACTTTCCTCTTCATTTAGCTTTCTCCACTCCCCTTTTCCACTGCGGACAGAACAAGAGACCCTGTTAACTTTGGAACAACCTGGAACATTCTTCTCAAGTCAGTACTTCTGTGGATGTGCAGTGAAGCTATAACATTTTAAACAATAAAACGATGATTTGAGCAAAACTCCACTAATTGTGCTGGCGAAGGTAGACGTTTTTGTCCCTACCTTCCCATGGCTGCTCTTTCAAGCCTCTGAAAATTACAGCCATTCTGTCAGGGAACTCTGCTGACTGTGGTGACCTGTGGTGTGTGTGTTGGGGAGGGGAGATTCCCAAAAATATAACAGAGGAAGCTTCTGCAAGCCAAGCCCCTTCTCTTGTGGAAGGCATATCCTGAATCTAAAATAAGATATTTTTGCTGGATGCTCTTGTTTTCTCATTGTTGGTGTGTGTGTGTGTGTGTGTGTGTGTGTGTGTGTGTGTGAGTGTGTGTGAGAGAGAGAGAGAGAGAGAGAGAGAGAGAGAGGGAGAGAGAGAGAGAGAGAGAGGT